TGTGTTTGAGCTAATCTGATAATGGAGTTTGAGGTCAATTGAGTCAATTGCTATAGACCTCCAATGTCTGCTGACCCAGCTCTGTGATTTTACGTGGCCTACCACTTTGTGGTTGAGTTGCTGTTTTTCCCAGTTGCTTCCAATTTGTTTTAATAACACTTACAGTTAAGGAATATTTAGTAGAGAAAAAATTCCATCACTGGACTAGTTGCACAAGTGGCAACCTATGATGGTACCATGTTGGAATTCACTGAGCTCCTTAGAGCGACCCAATCTTTCACAGATGTTTGTAGAAGAGTCTGCATGTCTAGGTGCTTTTGTACACGTGCAGCCATGGACGTGACTGGAACACCTGAGCTCAACAATTTATAATTGGGAGGGTGAATACTTCTGGCAATATACTGTAGCATTATTTACCCCTTATGTTACGGGCAGCACGGTGGCACGGTGGTTAGCACTGTTGCCGCACAGCAAGAAGGTCCTGAGTTCAATTCCACCATCAGGCCGGGGTCTTTCTGTGTGGAGTTTGCATGTTCTCCCCGTGCTTGCGTGGGTTCTCTCCGGGTACTCCGGCTTCCTCCCACCGTCCAAAGACATGCAGCTTGTGGGGATAGGTTAATTGGATAATCCAAATTGTCACTAGGTGTGAATGTGCGAATGAATGTGAGTGCGAATGGTTGTCTGTCCCTGTGTGTTGGCCCTGCGACAGACTGGCGACCTGTCCAGGGTGTACCCCGCCTCTCGCCCTATGACAGCTGGGATAGGCTCCAGCGCCCCCCGCGACCCTGAAAAGGACAAGCGGAAGCGAATGGATGGATGGTTACCAAATCATTGTCTGGAGCACATATCCCTGAGGCGTACCATAACTCTGCCTTTTTGTGTAAATTCTTCTACTTGCATTGTTGCCTTGGAAACTGTTTGTCTATGTATTTTTTACGTCAATTTTTAGATACCACCAGGATCAATCATTGCTTTATTATTGGTTTGCTGCTAGCACAGCTGCTAATTACTGCTTGCATTGTATCTGAAATAGCTACAAAGCGTAAATTTACTGCTGATTTCTTATTATAGTATTATATTATTAGAGAGTTACATTTTTGCATCTCCCTTAACATTTACACTATTTACAACTCGAATAACGATAACGCATTGCAATATTTCTCCAGTTGTGCATAAAGAGCAATTTTTGTGTTTGTTTGTTTTTCTTATTTTTAAATCATTATGCCAAATACAAAGTAATATAAACATATGTGTGTAAAGCATATTGTGTATCCACCAATGGGCACTTCAGCTTCTTAAGATGATATTACAGCATACTAATGTTCCACTTCACATTTTTATCCTTGGAGTCTAAGTAGGACCATATGATTCACAGTTCAAAATAATCCCTATTTATCTTAGACTGGGCTTTGAAGCAGGTCCATAATTCATCCAAAATCTGGAACGAGAATTTGAGCTGGCTTCACCCACACATTAAGCAAACTTTCATCTGACTGGCTGATTGGTATAAAGGCTGAGATGACCATATTAGGATATCCCGCTGATATCAAACAGAACCACAAGAGTAATGGAGCCCTTTGGGTCTTAGGTGTAACTTTTCCATAAATCAACAACATTATTTGGAATCTATTTTTAAACAAACAGATCCAGTTTATCTCCCATCAAAATTGGTCCTTTTCTAAGATTGGCAGAATACACAGTGGGGAGTGTTGTTAGCTCGCCACAGAGGAGAATGGAACTTAAGCTGTTTAATTGGATCAGGCAACAAAAGAATTGTTTACTGTTGTTGAAGCTTAAGAAGATCTGATCAAATCAAATCAAATCAAATCAAATGACTTTTATTGTCACATCACATGTGCAGGCACACTGGCACAGCACATGCGAGTGAAATTCTTGTGTGCGAGCCCCACAAGCAACAGAGATGTGCAAACACAACAACACAAACGAGCAAAATACAAGAATGGCCAACCTGAAACTAATAAATATATGTACAATATATAATAGTGTATGCATTTCTGGATGTGTATACTAAATATTTTCCTACATGTGTGTGTGTGTGTGTGTGTATGTGTGTGTGTGTGTGTGTATACACATTTTTACAAATTAAATAGTAAAAAAAAAAAAAAAAATAAATAAAAAATAATAATAATAATAATAATAATAAAATATATAAAATATACAGAGTTGAATATGTGCAAAACAAGTGGCATTTATATACAGTGTGGAGTGCATAATGTTGAAGTTCTAGTAGTGAAGCTGAGGTGTCTATGACGTGTTCAGCAGTCTGATGGCCTGATGGAAAAAGCTGTCTCTCAGTCTGCTGGTACGGGACCGGATGCTGCAGAACCTCCTTCCTGATGGAAGCAGTCTGAACAGTTTATGGCTGGGGTGACTGGAGTCCTTGATGATCCTCCCCGCTTTCCTCAGGCAGCGCTTCCTGTAGATGTCTTGGAGGGAGGGAAGCTCACCTCCAATTATCCGTTCAGAGCACCGCACTACTCGCTGGAGAGCTTTGCAGTTGTAGGCGGTGCTGTTGCCATACCAGGTGGTGATGCATCCAGTGAGGATGCTCTCAATGGCACAGTGATAGAAGGTCCTGAGGATGCGGGGGCTCATGCCGAATCTTTTCAGTCTCCTGAGAAAGAAGAGGCGCTGCTGCGCCTTCTTCACTGTTTTGTTTGTGTGTACTGACCACGTAAGATCCTCAGCCAGATGTACTCCAAGGAACCGGAAGCTGCTCACTCTCTCCACAGCAGCGCCATTGATGGTGATGGGGGTGTGTACTTCTCTGCACCTCCGGAAGTCCACTATCAACTCCTTTGTCTTTGCGACGTTGAGGGTGAGATGGTTGTCTTGACACCAGTGGGTCAGGGCGCTGACCTCCTCCCTGTAAGCCGTCTCATCACCGTTGGTGATAAGACCCACCACTGTAGTGTCGTCCGCAAACTTCACAATGATGTTGGAGCTGTTAGTGGCTGTGCAGTCGTAGGTGTAGAGTGAGTACAGGAGAGGGCTCAGTACACACCCCTGTGGAGCACCAGTGTTCAGTGTGATGGGGGATGAGGTGATGCTGCCCAGTCTGACCACCTGGCGTCTGTCAGACAGGAAGCTAAGGATCCAGGGATCTGAGAGACTGAGGAGGAGAAAGAAACAGAACAAGAGGAAATGAAGAGGAAGAGAGAGGTAACAGAGAGTTGGTAGATAATACAGGAGGGGAGGGGAGCGCTTAAAAGTAATGGCGACAAACAGACAGGATGGAAAAGAAAACATGCAAAGGAATACTGTTAGGAAATCAAAAAACAGGTTTAAGAGAGACATCAACCAAGAATAAAAGACGAGGAAGAAATGGAATATATGTGATTACTTGCACTCTGAGCCCCCGTCGGTAAATTAGAGGCAGGCCCCCGTGCAGACAAACGTGATGGCTTTTTTACTCTAATCAGATTGGAGCTCAAGGTTTGAGAAAAAAGGCCCAACATTCCTCTCTCTCTTTGCACACTATGACTGAATGTAAAATGCTGGTGTGTGCATATGGAGAGAATGCTCTGGGTGTATGTGTGGCAGATATTTTGTTTGTGAGTGATGAACTGGAATAGCCCCAACTAGCTGCAAATTCACGATAGACAGTAACAATCCCTGCATTCTGATTAAAGTAGCTTTCTGTGGACAACAGACATTTGAATATTATTTTTAATCAAAACAGTCTGACAGCATCAGAGGAGATCTTGAATGAGTTTCAACCCATGCACCAAATGTTGCTTCATCAAAGGGTTCTTTGCCTTCAGTGCTTCTACACTGACTGTTTAAATGGATGTAAAGCTGTAAATCTTATTCAACATAAGATTTAACATTATCAGGCATCATTGTTAAAGGTACTGTCAGACAGACTTATGACAGTGACACAGAGTGAAGAAGTGATATATGTGAAAAAAATTTTTTATGGGACTCAATCCTGTGGAAAAACTCAAAACCTTCATTCTATAGAAACTCACTAGTAAGTAACAGCCAGGTGTTGCTAGTCATATGCACTTAAAGAAGAAAATAAGTATTCCGGTGTCAAATGTGAGGTCATCTGTTTGACGGCTAAAGACTGAATCATACATTATGACAATGATCCCAAGAAAATCTAAAACAAAAGGACTGAAAAAGAAAAGAATTGAGATGTTGGAATGACCCAGACACCATCCAGACCGGATTAAAATGCTGTGCTTGTGACTGTAGTGTTTCAACAGGATTTGATTCATAGCCATTATATGTTATTAGGTATGACTTAAGCACCGATTATATGTTAAATGTACGTGAGTCTGCTAGGGTCCACTCAGGTCTCGGTGATGTAAATTTTGTCATCAGATGGTTAACATGCCCAAGTTTTCTTGGGCAAGATACTCAAACCCGAGTTGCTTCCAAAGCATTCATCAAAGAGTGACAGAAAGCACTTAGAAATAGAAAACGTGGGTGTGTGAATAGGTGAATGAGGCTTTAGTGGTGGTGGTGGTGGTCAGAAGGGCCGATGGCGTGATATGGCAGCCTCGCTTCTGTCAGTCTGCCCCAGGGCAGCTGCGGCTACAACTGTAGCTTTCCTCCACCAGTGTATGAATGTGTGTGTGAATGGGTGGATGACTGGGTGTGTAAAGCGCTTTGGGGTCCTTAGGGGGGACTAATAAAAGTATGGAAGAAATATAGTATCATCAGAATTCAAGTATTTTTAGACATTGAATTTATGACACTGAATTTTTATCCTCCAAATTTCCCTGCAAAAATATTCACATGCAAAAATTCACCTGCAAAAATTCACCTGCAAAAAATTCACCTGCAAAAATTCACCTGAAAAAAATTCACCTGCAAAAAATTCACCTGCAAAAAATTCACCTGCAAAAATTCACCTGCAAAAATTCAACTGCAAAAGTGATGAACTTTAATGACCCAAGCCAGAGCACTCAGCACCAGATCGAGTCGAGTGGCTCTCGGCCAATTAAATTACGCTGTTTGATCACATGACACCGTTAGCCAGCAGTTTGTCTCCTAAAAGAGAGCTGTTTAGAGGTGAGTGATTAAGTTTTTCTCCTAAATAGAGATCATTACAGAACGCCTAGTCCTACTTAAAATCCCATTTATTTTTATTTTATCATCTACTCGAACTAAGGAAAACGTTTGACTAACTCAAAGACAATTTCCACGACTCCCCTGCCTGACTGCAGAGGCAGTTTTGAATTTAGGAGCAGCAAGATGGAAGCGGCAAACCCTGGCGATTCTCCGGTAAGTATATTGTTTTTTATCTTCAAGTTTGTCTTTTGAAACGTTAATTTTATTTAAATCCGTTGCTCACGTATAAAGTACACAGACGGGGTCTTTGCTCAACTCGTCTGAGGCGTGTCTCACTAAGCGCTACATGCTAGCATCCTGCTAACCGAGCTACCCTTTACATGCTGTGCTTTAGAAAATAGGATACTCGTTAAAAAATACTCCGCAGATATTGATAGATAGACGAACACTGCAAATATAATGTTGTAAACGAAAACGGCCTTTGGTGAAGGGGTAAAATACACCATGAATAAAGCCATAGATTGAATGGCTGCCATGGTTGCAGAACGGCCTGATTTAATGACAAGAATGGGGAAGAGTGAGGCGAAGTGAACCAAAGCCACAAAACACGGTCAGACAAGGCGGCAAAAGGGCAGTGATCTGTCCGTCAGTATGAAGTTGGTGTGTGCTTTGGTGAACAAAAACTCGAGACCGGTAGCAGGAAGGTGGGAGACTCGTGTTTCACTGGAATAGTGGTGAATTAAAACATCCTTTGTTGGGGACATTTAGGTGTAAATGCATCCATAAAGGTGAGACAGAGGCAGACCAGACAGTGAAGAAAACAAGGCAAACATTAGAAATATTAAAACGGAAATATAGGATTAATATAACATACAATTGGGGAAAATGTAAGGAACACAATGTAAATGATATTGTAAAGTCATTAAAACAGCATACTCTGATTAAAAGAAACAGATAATTGGGTAGGATGATGATGATGATGATGATAATAATAATAATAATAATAATAATAATAATAATAATAATAAAATAAAAAAAATGTACAAGATGGGTATGTATACTTGTAGCCAGAACTTAACAACTATAAAGTTGTAGCATGTCAGTACCTTACCCCATCCATTATATCCACACTTTCAGAAAAGGATATGGTCATTATCTTTACAAATACTATCTAAACTTAAACTGGATATCCCCTCTGCTTCTTCTGCTTCTCGTATACACCCTCAGGGTTTGTGATCAGCCAGCGGCTGATATGATCATTAATCCTGTAAAATAATATTCTTTCGGTTTATGAATCTGTTTGCATGGATTTCTTAATCTGTTTCCACTGTTAGCAGAAGTTGTGCATGCAGTTTTGGTGTGCTGCTCTCCAAGACTACAAGCTGCGTTAAAGTTGGAAGTAACTGGCTGATGTTCCACTGTTGAAGATAGCTGTGCCCATTTGTTGCACATTGTGGGTATGGAGAAATTGTGGCTACCCACAATTTCCCCAAACTGAGCGATTATACATCTTCCTTCCATATTTGTATCTTGTGTCACTAAAAATAATTTTATTTAATTTTATACATTGATTAATGACCTGCAGAATCTCCTTATCATATTAAGTGATTCACAATTGTCACTTTATGCTTTCTCCATCTTGAAAGTGATGACATCCTTGCATTACATCCTTTAGGTTCATTTTCTGCAGGCAGGTTTCTGACAGAGAACAGGCAGATTTACACTATAACATGCAGCGTTCTATAGATGGACACATAAAGAAATGAAAAATTACATGTATGTGCTAACTTTCTAAACACTGTTACATTAATGATTAAGTAGATAAAACATTTATGTCAGCCTTGGCTCATAGTTCATTTAAAGACAAGAACTTTGTGTGTGTTTCAGGTCCTGCACTCTCAAAGACTGAATGAACCAGCATTGCAGCCATGGGTCACTGTGAGCATCACAGGGAAGGTTGAAGCCGCCCACTGCAGCTGTAAGGCCGGAGTCACGGAGACCTGCACCCACGTCACTGCTCTTCTGTTTAATGTAGAAGCAACAGTGATCTGTGGCACAAGGACTGTTACAGATGAACCTGCATACTGGGTTTTGCTGGGTAATATGACCAAGATACAGCCAGAGGTTGGCCATAAGATAGACTTCTCCTCTTCAGCTGCCCAAAAAAGGCTCTTGATCAGAACAAACAGACCATCTGTAGTGACAGGTCCTCAAAAAGAAAAATCCCACCTGCTACTGTGGAGGAGTTGTCACTGCTATAATGCCATCATGTTTTATCTAGGGGTCTAGATTTATGCCTATAGTGCACTGCCGTGTAAATAATTTGCATTTACTGAATGAGTATCACTGTTCAAAAATTGAATAAAGAAACAAACAAATTTTTGCCTTTTTTTTTTTTTAATTAAAACCACTTTATAGAACATCACATCAGTTACAATGTAGAATCCATGTCACTGGAGAATTTTGATTCAATAAACAGTAAAAAGGTGAGCTGTGAAGACCAAGGACAAGTGCAGCTCACAGGTTTTCTATCCAAGGAATCCCAGAAGATTGCATGGTGTCATTGCCCAGCAGTTGTTCGCAGGACATATGGACTCAACCTCAACAATCCCTCACACTGAGCAGCATGAAGTGACAGTGCAGAGGAAAAACTCCCCTTTAACAAGAAGAAACCTCCAGCAGAACCCGGTTCAGTACCAGCAGCCATCTGGGTTTGGAGGAGAGAGAGAGACACAGAACTACCAAAAGTATATTTTTTTTTATGTGATTGACTGTTGTTGTAATTCAAGCCCTGAGTGTAGAGCAGGTAAGATATAAAGTTGCATCCTAAATTCCATGCTCATGCAGAGTGTTTAGTTTATGACTTTTTCACCTGGTCATATCTTGATGAACAGATGGTCTTTTAGGGTTGACCAAGCTGGTACCTTGACTCTGTTCTCTGCAAGATGTTGCAAAAAACAAAATCATATGGAGACAATATTGGACACAAAATATATAACAATTTAGTTAAATGTAGCATTAACTCATAGGTCTTGCTAAAGTAAACCTTGTATTCTGATTCAACACAGCAGCAGTTCAGTTGGATGATGTCAGTAACTGCAGCAAGTGTCTTGCTGACTGAATAATTACATCTTGCATAATCTGAAACAAACACATAAAGACAGAAACAATTTATAAATTAACGTTTGATAAAATCTAAGAATTAATCATTTATTAGATACCAATATGAATATGTCTACCATAAAAGCGAAGTTACATTCAATCAAGATGGTCTGGCATGCTACAACTTTGTAGTTGTTAAGTTCTGGCTACAAGTATACATACCCATCTTGTACATGTTCTTTAACATTATTATTATTATTATTATTCTTATTATTATCATCATCATCATCCTACCCAATTATCTGTTTCTTTTAATCAGAGTATGCTGTTTTAATGACTTTACAATATCATTTACATTGTGTTCCTTACATTTTCCCCAATTGTATGTTATATTAATCCTATATTTCCGTTTTAATATTTCTAATGTTTGCCTTGTTTTCTTCACTGTCTGGTCTGCCTCTGTCTCACCTTTATGGATGCATTTACACCTAAATGTCCCCAACAAAGGATGTTTTAATTCACCACTATTCCAGTGAAACACGAGTCTCCCACCTTCCTGCTACTGGTCTCGAGTTTTTGTTCACCAAAGCACACACCAACTTCATACTGACGGACAGATCACTGCCCTTTTGCCGCCTTGTCTGACCGTGTTTTGTGGCTTTGGTTCACTTCGCCTCACTCTTCCCCATTCTTGTCATTAAATCAGGCCGTTCTGCAACCATGGCAGCCATTCAATCTATGGCTTTATTCATGGTGTATTTTACCACTTCACCAAAGGCCGTTTTCGTTTACAACATTATATTTGCAGTGTTCGTCTATCTATCAATATCTGCGGAGTATTTTTTAACGAGTATCCTATTTTCTAAAGCACAGCATGTAAAGGGTAGCTCGGTTAGCAGGATGCTAGCATGTAGCGCTTAGTGAGACACGCCTCAGACGAGTTGAGCAAAGACCCCGTCTGTGTACTTTATACGTGAGCAACGGATTTAAATAAAATTAACGTTTCAAAAGACAAACTTGAAGATAAAAAACAATATACTTACCGGAGAATCGCCAGGGTTTGCCGCTTCCATCTTGCTGCTCCTAAATTCAAAACTGCCTCTGCAGTCAGGCAGGGGAGGCGTGGAAATTGTCTTTGAGTTAGTCAAACGTTTTCCTTAGTTCGAGTAGATGATAAAATAAAAATAAATGGGATTTTAAGTAGGACTAGGCGTTCTGTAATGATCTCTATTTAGGAGAAAAACTTAATCACTCACCTCTAAACAGCTCTCTTTTAGGAGACAAACTGCTGGCTAACGGTGTCATGTGATCAAACAGCGTAATTTAATTGGCCGAGAGCCACTCGACTCGATCTGGTGCTGAGTGCTCTGGCTTGGGTCATTAAAGTTCATCACTTTTGCAGTTGAATTTTTGCAGGTGAATTTTTTGCAGGTGAATTTTTTGCAGGTGAAATTTTTGCAGTTGAATTTTTGCAGGTGAATTTTTTGCAGGTGAATTTTTGCAGGTGAATTTTTTTCAGGCGAATTTTTTTCAGGTGAATTTTTGCAGGTGAATTTTTTGCAGGTGAATTTTTGCAGGTGAATTTTTGGCAGGTGAATTTTTTCAGGTGAATTTTTGGCAGGTGAATTTTTTGCAGGTGAATTTTTGCAGGTGAATTTTTGCAGGTGAATATTTTTGCAGGTGAATTTTTGCAGGTGAATATTTTTGCAGGTGAATTTTTGCAGGTGAATTTTTGCAGGTGAATTTTTTGCAGGTGAATTTTTTTCAGGTGAATTTTTTGCAGGTGAATTTTTGCAGGTGAATTTTTTTCAGGTGAATTTTTTGCAGGTGAATTTTTTTCAGGTGAATTTTTGCAGGTGAATTTTTTGCAGGTGAATTTTTTTCAGGTGAATTTTTGCAGGTGAATATTTTTGCAGGGAAATTTGGAGGATAAAAATTCAGTGTCATAAATTCAATGTCTAAAAATACTTGAATTCTGATGATACTATATTTCTTCCATATAAAAGCGCTTTACAAATACAGGCCATTTACCATTTTAGTATAAAGGAACCAATCTATAAAATGAAAATAACATTTTAGAACTGAGTAGCCACTATTATTTTCAACATAAATGTAGACAACACTAAGACTGTGATGACACTTTGATCACAGGGGAACTTTATCATCAAAGTCTGGGCTCTTCTCTTTGACTCAAACACACCCACAAACATACAGCAGCCAATAAAGAAGCAGAGATATAACCAGGACAGTGAACTGAGCTGAAAGCAGCACAGCTCATGAAGTTCACAGGAAATAGCCAATAAGAGTCTGTTATGACACCACAGATTTAACAAGTGAAGAATATGTAGTCAAGTGACAGTGCTGTTTAATTAAAGACAGGTTACAGCAAAAACTCTGCCTGCCTGCAACAAACTACTTGTTTAGTTTGCCACTTGCTTTAATTGGTTGCAAATAGAAATCCAGTGGCAGAGGATAAAGTGAGCCCTCAGTTCCCTTTTGGGTGAACTCAGTAAACGGTGTCCTGATGAGTTTATGCTCCCAGTTGCTAATTTCAAGCATACAAGATGAGCTCATTTTGTAAATTACAGTCCCCATTAGAGCAAAAAAAAAAAAAAGAGCTGGGTATGCTTTAAGCTGAGCTTTGACAGTCACGACCCTAATAGCATACAATGTGCCACCGTTGTTCAGATAGAACTTCATGTCATAACACCAAAATGCTCAGCTTAGGGCCTCACAACAGGACATCATTAACTAATGGGTGATGTTACATCCAGCATTTACAGTCCATTAGTACACTAACACTGAGTTTTATTAACTTGAAATCATTATTACAGTTCCATTTAATTTTATGTGTATGTAGTTCTGAATCACAATCAAGGTCCTTTGTAAGGTAAAGACCTTCTTTGAGCAAGCACTTGGTGACAGTGGGAAAGAAAATCTCCCTTTTAACAGTAAGAAACCTCCAGCAGAACCAGGCTCACGGAGACATGCTGTGGAAGGGAACCAGAGATAATTAATAACTATGATTGAATGCAGAGAGGTGTATAAACACACAGAGATTGAAAACAGTGAAGAAGAAATGCTCAGTTTAGCATGGGAAGCCCCGAGACGTCTAGGCCTATTGCAGGGTAACTTAGGGTCACCTGATCCAGCCCTAACTATAGTCTTTATCAAAAAGTAAAATGTTAAAGCTAATCCTTAAATGAAGCAGTTGTTTGTGTCCCAAAATCCAAACTGGAAGCACAGAAGAGGGGACTGAAAGCTGAAGCCTCTGGGAACCTGAGAGTCTGAGACCAAAGTAAGAT